TGTCCGGGATGGCAGCTCCATTATGTTGGGTCAGCCAAGTGTAGGCAGAGCCAGGAGAACCAAGCTGTTGGGAGCACAAGCCTAATCCTGCCTACTCTGCTGCAAATAGCCAATACTTCTGGCTCTGCCCATCTGGAGCTCATTTGATGATAAATCAGTCTCCAGGCTGACTCCTGGGCAAGAAGTACCAGCCCCACCTCCTATCCCGTTCCCCTCAAAGACTGGGACCTCAGTTTTCCAATCACGTGACTGCATTGTGTAATAGCAACCCATGTACACAAACAACTCAGACTATTTAAATGTCACAGTAAGAAAGATGCATTATAGTCTAATTTGCATATCTATTCACAGATCACTACTTCCTCTATTTAGCCAGAAAGGTTTTATTCCTATCCCTTGGCTCTCCAAAGACAACAGTAAAGAAAACTTAAATCTTGATTATAATTAAAAGTTATACAAGTCCTCAAAACCCTACAGATGTAAAGAATTAGAATGAATGACAAATGACACATGTTCATTCTAGTACTTATATCAGTCATTTAATACTTTGCTGATCACTAAATGCTGGATTATCTCAAAGGTTAGACACATACAAGCGTTACTTCATTGCCAAGTAACATTAAAAATTCAATCTTGGAGAGCTAAAGTGGCCTACTAATTTAGTTGTTCCCTCCTCCCAAAAAAACATTCTCTCTCTCTCTCTCTGTGTCTGTCTCTGTCTCTATGTCTCTTTCTGTCTCTGTCTCTCTCTCTCTCATTTGAATTGAACCAAACCCAACCTGAGAAAAGAAAATAATCCTACAAGGGGCAAGGGGTGGGGTGGGATTAGAATAAAATCAAATCAAGTATTCACTTCAGGCACTAATTTCTCCACCCATGTGAAAACTGAATTGGATCACATACAAACCTCCTAAGGATAATAAGTAAGAGTTGGAGAAAGTCCTTACACCCATGTTGACAGAGCCCAGCCTCTCCCAAAACCCTGGCAGCCCAGTCTAGAATCACAAATGTGAAACCAAGTTTCTCTATGAGACAAACAGCACTGGTTCTGAAGTCTAAGAGGACATGAGTTCAAATCTTACTTCTGACAACAGAGGTATAACCTTGGGCAAGTCACTTAAACTCTCTTGGGTCTCAATTTCATTATCTGTAAATATAAATTAATGAGGGACTATTAAAAAAAAATGGAGGGAAATCACCTACCCACTGTAAAACACTTCTAGTCTAAACAATGCAGCCCAGGAGGATTCTCTTAGCAAGAGATGATACACCCCCCCCACCCCCCACACACTTCTCCCTTTGGTGAGGCAATTGGGGCTAAGAGACTTGCCTAGGGTCACACAGCTAATGTGTCTGAGGCCACACTTGAACTCAGGTCCTCCCAACTCCAAGGCCGGTGCTCTAGCCACTGCGCCACCTAGCTGCCTCTGATACATGTATTCACTATTCACTAACACACACTAATTCTGAATCCCAGGCTAAAAATATTCAGGTACATGATATTTTTTGGTTTAGAATGCACCAAATGAGTACATCTTAATCTTAAAATATTACGGGGTGATTTTATATGTTTTAATATAGCAGAAGTTATTGTATGAGTTCACATGACTTAAGATTTTCCTCTAAAAAACAAAAATAATGTTCATGTGTTTTGGTAATATGCAGCTGATAACTTCATTTCTATCCCAAGATACCCTTCATTTATAGCTGAGATGATGTCAGGAAAGTTTTAATTTGTGTTTTTACACTAGAACTTGTGATTCATAACATTTTCTTTCCAAACTAGCCACTACTGGGGAGGTCTGGAGAACGACTGCAGATCCTAACTAAGCAAGGTCAACGTCGACTGACTTTTGCCTTTTCTTTTCTGAGCTGCCTTTCTCCTCCATTCTCCTAATACCCACAGTAAAATATTCAACCTGCTTCCAGAGCTATTAAAAGTTGCTGGAAGTGTCGCTGAGCAACACTATCTGTACCCACATCAACCTTGACTATTCTAAGTCTGACTCCCATTTGGAATCCGACCTTTGCCAGTGGTGGTAAAAGATAGCCCAGAGTTCCCTTACCAGGTTTCCTGCCCAATAAAGTATTCCTCAAAAAGGCAGGTCAGCAGATCCTGAGAGAGTCCTCATTAACGAGTTATGTCTACTGAATTTCTTCCCTAGGATGGTTTTTTTAAATCTTTTTTTCAAGTGTTAGTATTAAGAATGAATATTCTCTAGCCAATATATACAAAGTTGAAGGGCTGCGAGGTGGAGGCAAAAATCAAAACACTGTTTATTATTAACCTATTCCACATAGGGAAGCATTCTTGGGAAATGGTGAAATTCCTGACCAGTAACAGCCTGTGGGAACCAATCACCAAGAGAACCAAGTAAAAACAAAGCCGTAATAATGAGGATGTAGCAGGAGAACAATGCAGCTACTAGAGGAGATGAGATTGTCTGAAGATAACAATACCCCCAGGAGTTACACTAGCAGCTATATTACTGTATTAGCCTAGGAAGCTTTGTTCAAAGGGCAGGGCTCTCTCCAAAACCATCTGTTGGGGCTCTTGGGTTAATTCTGGTTTGCAGACTCAGCATTAACATTTCAAGATTGTTAACCACTACAAACCAACTGAGGCAGATTCTCTTTTCCCCCTCTGGTAGTAGCTTATTATACCCTTGTGAAGTGAAGATAGCCTTTCATTGAAATGGAGATGCTGTAAATGAAAGGAGATATGCTCTTTTAATAATGTATACAGGGTTCAAAAGAAAAGTCCCACAACCCAGGTATGGTACATTTACAAAGTCTTTAATTCTACTAACACATCCAGCTTCAGTTTTCATATTTTAGTGGAAAATATGCAGATCGAGGACAACACACAGGCATCCATAGATGGGTCTCCAAGGGACCTAATGTATATAGCCCAAGGAAATGTGACAAAAACAAGTGCTCCCTCCCTGCCCCAGAACAACAAACATACTCTTTTATCTGAGGAACCAGAGTAAAATCTGATAATTACCTGCCTCATGACATTACTCAATCTGAATTACACCACACTTTAAAAGGCAGCTGCACCAGTTTTATTTCTATATAAAGAAACATCGTACAGACCATTTACCACAATAATGCCATGGACACTCTCAAAGTGTATTCTTGTCCCAACTTAAGAGATTTTTTTTTAAAACCCAGGAAGTTAAATAATGTAAGTTAAAGCATCCAGATGTCTACTAACCCAGTTATTACAGGTGCTTCACATGTGTCTCAAACAAATGTGGCAGCCACTGCTGCCAACAGTAAGAGTATTTATCAAAACATGAATTTTCTTTAGTTGAGTATCCAAAAAATAAATAAATAAAAGGGCACATAAAAGCCTTTGGTATTAGACTTTCTCTCCTCTTCCCTCCCTCCCTGCAAGAGCTGAGAATGCCAGCATTGTTTGGTATAAATGCTTTGGCTTTCTAGCAATTTTAAAAACCAAAAAAGATTCTCGAAATTACCCATACTGAATATTAAGTTCTATTAAAAAAATTAAAGCCGCTTCTAAAGTCAGTTTTGGTGTAGAAGTTAAGCCTTTTGAGGGCAAGTATACTCTTCTGTATTTACTGTATTCCCAGTACTTACAATAAATGCTTGTAAATCGACAGAAATAGAAGTAAAAGTGGAGGAATTTACATAAAGGAACAAAGGTTTAATTGGGCATACCTGTAAGGCACACCGCAGTTCTAATGTCTGTAGGTCCAATATGCATATGGGTAGTTGGAAGTAAGTCTACCGAGTACCCAGTACAACAGTAACATACTAGGACATAAGCGTATATGTGTGCCTGTTTGCCTAGAAGGGAGGTTAACAGGCTAGAACTCTGAAATGCTCAATCACTGCTTAAACCTCAATCAGTGACAATTGAGAACTGTGAATTCCATCTCATATTAAATAATTAAGGGAAGCAGCATCACCAACAATTGTGCATCTTTTAAAAACCTAAAAAAAAACCTAATAATTAGTTTTACAACCCCAAACGCTGTTTAAAAAGAACTAATTATATTATTTCCAGTACGAAGGTTTTCCTTTTCCTTTTCACTCCCAAAGGGGTCCAAGGGTTCCCTTGTATATCCTCTGAAAGGGCTATTTCAAGCATTTCAAACCTCAGGTCTACATCTACTGATTCTCATCGTGAATCTGAATAACCCAACTTAAGTGGGTCAGAGCCTCCTAGATTAAGAATCACTGGTTCTACTGATTCCTCTGGCCTACCACCTTAGTCAATAAGAAGTGAAAAATGACAACTGATCAAACATTCTGGATTCTTGACACAAGTAAAAAGATGCCCCTCTAACATAGGGGAAAGAGGGCGCTCCACACTCCCTGCCGCCTTCCCCCCTTTACTTTTCCGACCTAGGGTCTGCAGGTATTCTACTGCCTCAGACTCTTGAGCCATACCAGTCCTTAAAGGCACCTCAATTTTGGTCACTGCGTCCCTTATATACAATTCAGTAAGACTGAAAAATAGCTGGGGACATCTCTCCTTTCCCTTCCTAGCCCCGGTCCCCAGCACCTAGCGTCAGTGTTTTGCTGCAGACTAGAGTGAGTAGACAGACAGATTTTGGAAACCTTGGTAGATCTTTGGAAATCTGGTTGGCTCTCAGCCAACACTTCCAATAAATAGGATGTGCACCAAACCAAGGAATCTGTGGGTCCTCTCTTCCTGCAGCGCTTTCTCTATCGGGCATAGAAAAGGACAGCTCAGAGCACGCAAATCTGCTGGAGCTGAGATTTCCAGGCTTGGGAGACAGTGCCGGTTTCCCTCCCCCTACGCCCGCTACAATTACAGTGCAAACCCGCAATTCAGGTGTCCTTCCGCAGGAGACTCCCCCTGCCAACATGACAGTGAAGGCGCAGCGCGGTCTCTCTGGGCGACCCGGAGCTGCTTCCCCACGCCGTCAGGGGTGATGTCCGGCTCCAGTCCGGCTGGCTGTCCCTCCACTCCCGCAGCCCGACCAAGGGCGGGCACCTACCTCGATCCACTTCTGCGCCTCGTGGAAGGCGGGCTCCGGAGGAGGGTCGTGCTGCAGCTCTTCCAGACCCAAGCCAAGACTAGCCATTTGCAAATGTCCCCAGTCCTCTGCAGACTCGGCCGCCGCTGGAGATGGGAGAATGGACTCAGGGGTCGTTCCGCCCCCTCCTTCCCTCCCTATCCTTTCCCAGGGCAGGTCCGAGCAAGCTGGAGGGAGAGGTTAGAGGCCGCCACCGCCGCCTCCGCCACCGCCACCGCCGCCGCCACCACCACCGCTGCCGCCGCCGCCGGCTGACTGCCAACACCGCCCCGGGAGACCTGGCGAGGGGGCGGGGGCGGCCTGGGGGAGGGGCGGGAGGGCACACGCTGCTGCAGCGGCAGTTCCCAGCGCAGGCTGCGCTCCGCCGGGTTGAGCGGGCTCCCCGCTGGGAGGCAGCGACGCAGCTCTCGCTCCCCACCTTCTCTCGCTCCTCCTCCTCCTCCTCTTCCTCCTCCTCCCCCCTACCGTCTAAAAATAAACAAGTGGCGCTACTGCGGTGCCCACCCCCCGACCTCCTTTCCTCCTTCTCAAGCGGAGGTCACACGCCTCTAAACCCGGCACCGGCCTGGGCAAGGGCGAAGGAGAACCGCGGGACCGGCCCCGCACCTGGGAAGAGAGGGGCGCACCCCCGGGCGTGCTAAAGCGCTGCGGCTGTGGGCGGGCGGCCTTCGCCAGGGACACTGAGGAGTGACAGTGTCCTCCTGCATCTGCAGGACCGAGCGAGCTGCGTCCCACTCTCCCACCAGCCTCTCCGGGCTGCAGGCGGGAGACAGGGCACCTTGACCTGTCCGGAGCTGCTTTTAGTGATTTGATCACTTTAAAAAGAAGGGGGGGGGGGGCAAAACCATCACACACACAATGACCTTCCCCTTTTTCTCTATTTCTTTATTTATCTCCTTTTCTTTATGTCGTTACATAGGCCATTCCCTTTGACTGGAAGGCTGGACGGGTCAGGTATTTTATGCTCCTAGAGAAGGGCTAGCTGGCAAAGGGTGACTGAAGCTGGTATGAGGTTTTCGAAGGCCTTTGGTCTGGCCCTGGGAAATCCCCAGGCGCTGGGCTCCAGTCCCATGGTCAAGTATCGAAACCAACGTGGAATTTACCTGTTTTTCCTGTTACTCCAGTGACAGGTTGGATGGTTGGATGAAGCAAAAGAGATAGTCTTGAATTTCCCTCACCTCCAACTGCTATCACAATTAGTTCCTTCTCCAAGCCCCCTTCTCTAAAATCGAAGGGAGGAAGCCAGAATCCAGTAACAGAGATCCGGAAGAAAAGAGGAAATAAGTAGATGGGGGCGGGGAAGGGGGTACCAATAGATGTGGACAATGAAATGTAGACCGCAAAGGATGTTGACTAGAGCTATGGAGGTCCCGGGATTTCAGAGATCCAGCAGTTCTCAACCTGGGATCCCTAGATAGATAATTATTTTTCATAATTGTATTTCAATATATTTAGGTTCCTTTGTAATCCTAATATATTTTATTTTTATGTACCTTAAAGCATTATTCTGAGAAGTCCATAGGCTTCACCAGACTGCCAGTGGAGTCCATCACACACGTTATCAATCCCTGGGCTAGGTGAGCCAAGCCCCTTATTTTACAGATGAAAAGACCGAACCCCCCCCCCCAAAAAATGTAGTGATTTGCCCAGGGTCACCCTGTTGTCAAATAGCACAGCAAGAATTTCAGCATATTTTCGCTTCTACATCTAGTGTACTTTCTGCTGCAAATTGCCAAAGAGTGCGCAAAGTTCTGATCCTGGCTGAATCCCTCACTACTTGTATGACCTTGGGCAGGTCCTAATCATCTTGGTCATAAATTTCCTTTTAGAAGAATGGGAAATGATGGGATTATACTAGATGACTTGGCTTCCTCATAGCCCTAGAGGCACGATCCAATCAATCAATCAATCAATGATTATCCTAAGAATTTTAAGGAATTCTCTGGGCATGCTGATTATTGTGGAAGATAAGACTAAAAATCTTCCTGGGGTTTGTTATAAATAGACCTGTGCCATATAAAAGTCTAAGTGATAAGTGTTTTAATGGAGTTGTATGATTCAATTCAACAAATATTTATTAAGGACTTACAAGTGCTGCTTATAAGCACTGAAGATATAAAGACACAGATGAAGTCCCTGCCTTCCATGAGCTTACAACATTCTAATGGGGACAAACAACTTGAACCCAAATAAGAAAATGCAAGATACATGCAAAGTAATTTGCCTGAGGGAGGATACTAGCAAATGAAGGGATAATCTCATTTAAGAGGTTCAAAGTGAACCTTGAAAGGGGTAAGGCTTCCAAAAAATTGAGAAAAAGGAGAAACCATTCCAGGTATGTTAGTTCAAAAGCAAAGAGTTTGGCTGGAATGTAGGGATATGAGGGGAAATAATTTTAAATTAATCTGGAAAGATAAGTTAGAGCCAGATTGTGAGGAGCGTGCTTAAATGTCAAATACAAGGAGCATATATTTTATACTGGGGATAGGAGGAAGATACCAGTGACGTGGTCATGTTAAGTATATCCCTTCAGTAATGGAGTAAAAGATAGATTAAAAAGGGTAGAGGGATTCCAGTTGGTAAACTATTGAAATGGTGGAGGCAAGAGATTCAAAAGGCCTGAACCAAGGCAAAAGTCTCAAGTAGAAAAAAGGGAACAGTAATGAACAATATTATAGAGATATACTCAGGATGACCTGGCAGTTGAGTGGACATGGGAGGGCCAAGCAGAGGGAAGAAATGAGGTCAAGGTTTCAAACCTGATTGATGGGAAGGATGGTAGTGTCCCTGACAGAAATAGGGATGGTAGAAAGAGGGAAGGAAAGAGAGTTAGTTATGTTCTGGACTTGTTGAGTTTGAGATGCACATGGGAACAACCAAGTGGAGATGGCCGGCCAGTACCCAGTGATACAAAATATAACTCAGCAGAGAGATGTGGACTAGATATGTAGATTTGGGAGTCATTTATGGAGAAATGATAATTAAATCCATGTGAACTGGTAATATAGAGAAAAGTAGAGAGAGAAGACTGAGGACAGATCCCTGAGATACACCTCCTTCTGGGGGCAGGACTTTAATGAAATGACCTTGCCAAAGAGGCTGAAAAAGAGTAATCAGAAAAGAAGTGAGGGAAATCAGAAGAGATCAGGGACAGGAAAATCTAGGGAGGTGACAATGTTAAGCCACCTGCATTCACTGGTTGACAGTGTTAAACACTACAGTGAGATCCAAAAGGATAAAGTTAAAGTGAAGGTCTATGGATTTAGCAATTAAGAGTGTTGATAACCTTGCAAAGAGCTATTTCAGTCAAGTGCTAGAGAATGAAACCAGATTATAAGAAGTCAAGAAATGAGTGGGAGGTTAAGTGAAGACAACAGTAGACTTTTCTTCTAGAATTTTGGCTGTGAAAAGGAGGAGAGATATAGGACAATAGTTTCAAAGGATGGAAAATCAAAGAAAGGGTTTTTGTTTTTTTAAGGATATGGAGGATTTGACATGGTTGTAGGCACTAGGAAAAAAGTAAATAAAATAAAGTCAAAGATTAGAAAAGGACAAAAAAGGGAGACAGAAGGGAGAGGATCAAAGGCAGTAGAAAAAGTCAAGAGAAAGGGTCACCTCTTCCTTAGAGACTGTAATAAGGGAGGAATGAATGAGAGATGGTATTGAGCAGATTTGGGAATTGTGTAGAAGGACCTCATGGCAGGTGACCATAATTTTCTTGGTATAGTACAAGATTAGGTCTTCTGCTGAGAGAGAAAAGAGAGAGTTGGTATATATGGGGCTTGAAGAAACAAGAAAAGGTTTATAGCTTATATGCAATTATTATATAATATATAATTATATACATAATAATTATATATGTATTATACATATAATATGCATATTATAGTTTATATGCAAAGTGCTAGAAAGTCAGTCACCAAATAATAAAAGAATGGACATGCAGCAGTGAAGGTCCATTTGAGTACTTTTTTTTTTTAATGAGTCCTATGATTTCATCATTGTAGGTAGGCAATATAGATCATTACCTTCTGTGCAAATTACATATTAGAGAGCTGCCTGGGGCACTGAAGTATCATGTAATTTGCCCTGCTCATAAAACCAGTATGTTTCAGAGGTAGAGCTCGAACCCAGGTCTTTCTGACTCTAAGGCCAGCTCTCTGCATAATGCAACACTCCCTCTCAGTGAGATTATAGAATATATATTTGTACAGTTGGAATGCTATCTTCCTACAGCATTCAGTAGCATAGGAGCAAGAAGCAGAAAAGATAGGAGGGATGATCCAGGGGAAGGAATAGGAATTGTGAAATTCAATCCCAGATATAGCCTCGTATTTGGCTTTTCCTTTTTTTTTTTTTTTGAGGCAATCAGTGTTAAGTGACTTGTTCAGGGTCACACAGTAAGTGTCTGAGGCAAAATTTGAACTCGGGTCCTCTTGACTCTAGGCCCAGCACGCTATCTACGCTGCACTACATACCTACTCCTTGACTTTTCTTTTAATGAAATGTAACCTGGAAAGTTCTCTTGTGTCAGCCCAGCAGAAGACTACTTGCCAGTTATCTGAGGACCAGCCCAGCTAGGTGCCAAAGGGCCATGACCAGGAGGTTGGTCAAGGACATTCTAACTGGAACAATTCACAAACACCACCTATCAGTGAAGCTATCCTTGAAGTAGGTAACTTTGGTTCATGTGTGGAGACTTAGAATAAGGAGACTTTTTAACTAACAACTTTACCAAAACTACCTATGTGAGCAGTGAGTTCGGCTCCCAAAGAGCCAAGTGCTGCGATCTCTGATGATCATTCTGGAGTAGATTGCAAGTCTAGCATCATCATTATCGTCACTGACAATGGATATTTACTGCCTTTGGAGGTAACATGGATAGTGTGGGGCACTCAGAGTCAGGGAGACCTAGGTTCAAATTCCTCCTCAGACATTTACTGGCTGGTGACCTTAGTTGAGACACTTCCCCTCTCAGCCTCAGTTTCCTCATCTGTAAAATGGGAATAAATTTCCTAGCTGTGTGGTAGTGGACAAGTGTCTGAGCCCATCTATAAAATGAAGATAGTAATAGCTATAGTACTCACTTAGTAGGGTTATTGCAAGGTTCATATAAAATAAGGTATATGTAGTTGAATGTTGAACAAGGAACCCTTCCCTGATCAGTTGAGTTGCCTAGTTCACTTGATGAAAT